TGTTAATCTGCCATGGGCCCCCGTACCGCCTCCTCATGCTGCTGCCAGGTCCACAGTGTCTCATGGGTCCCTGTACGGCCTCCCATTGCTGCTGTCTCCATCGCCACACTCTGCCATGTGCCACTTTCAGGTCTCCTCACACTGCTGCTGGGTTCCATTTTGTCATAGGGTGCTGGCAGATTACGGGCGTCTCCCATTGCTGCTGCCAGGCCCCTAATCTGCCATGGGCCCCTGTACCGCCTCCTCATGCTGCTGCCAGGTCCACAGTGTCTCATGGGTCCCTGTACGGCCTCCCATTGCTGCTGTCTCCATCGCCACATGCCATGTGCCACTTTCAGGTCTCCTCACACTGCTGCTGGGTTCCATTTTGTCATAGGTTGCTGGCAGATTACGGGCGTCTCCCATTGCTGCTGCCAGGCCCCTAATCTGCCATGGGCCCCTGTACCGCCTCCTCATGCTGCTGCCAGGTCCACAGTGTCTCATGGGTCCCTGTACCGCCTCCCATTGCTGCTGTCTCCATCGCCACACTCTGCCATGTGCCACTTTCAGGTCTCCTCACACTGCTGCTGGGTTCCATTTTGTCATAGGTTGCTGGCAGATTACGGGCGTCTCCCATTGCTGCTGCCAGGCCTGTAATCTGCCATGGGCCCCTGTACCGCCTCCTCATGCTGCTGCCAGGTCCACAGTGTCTCATGGGTCCCTGTACGGCCTCCCATTGCTGCTGTCTCCATCGCCACACTCTGCCATGTGCCACTTTCAGGTCTCCTCACACACTGCTGCTGGGTTCCATTTTGTCATAGGTTGCTGGCAGATTACGGGCCTCCCATTGCTGCTGCCAGGCCCCTAATCTGCCATGGGCCCCTGTACCGCCTCCTCATGCTGCTGCCAGGTCCACAGTGTCTCATGGGTCCCTGTACGCCTCCCATTGCTGCTGTCTCCATCGCCACACTCTGCCATGTGCCACTTTCAGGTCTCCTCACACTGCTGCTGGGTTCCATTTTGTCATAGGGTTGCTGGCAGATTACGGGCCTCCCATAGCTGCTGCCAGGCCCCTAATCTGCCATGGGCCCCTGTACCCGCCTCCTCATGCTGCTGCCAGGTCCACAGTGTCTCATGGGTCCCTGTACCGCCTCCCATTGCTGCTGTCTCCATCGCCACACTCTGCCATGTGCCACTTTCAGGTCTCCTCACACTGCTGCTGGGTTCCATTTTGTCATAGGGTGCTGGCAGATTACGGGGTCTCCCATTGCTGCTGCCAGGCCCCTAATCTGCCATGGGCCCCTGTACCGCCTCCTCATGCTGCTGCCAGGTCCACAGTGTCTCATGGGTCCCTGTACCGCCTCCCATTGCTGCTGTCTCCATCGCCACACTCTGCCATGTGCCACTTTCAGGTCTCCTCACACTGCTGCTGGGTTCCATTTTGTCATAGGTTGCTGGCAGATTACGGGCCTCCCCATTGCTGCTGCCAGGCCTGTAATCTGCCATGGGCCCCTGTACCGCCTCCTCATGCTGCTGCCAGGTCCACAGTGTCTCATGGGTCCCTGTACGGCCTCCCATTGCTGCTGTCTCCATCGCCACACTCTGCCATGTGCCACTTTCAGGTCTCCTCACACTGCTGCTGGGTTCCATTTTGTCATAGGTGCTGGCAGATTACGGGCGTCTCCCATTGCTGCTGCCAGGCCCCTGTAATCTGCCATGGGCCCCCGTACCGCCTCCTCATGCTGCTGCCAGGTCCACAGTGTCTCATGGGTCCCTGTACCGCCTCCCATTGCTGCTGTCTCCATCGCCACACTCTGCCATGTGCCACTTTCAGGTCTCCTCACACTGCTGCTGGGTTCCATTTTGTCATAGGATGCTGGCAGATTACGGGCCTCTCCCATAGCTGCTGCCAGGCCCCTAATCTGCCATGGGCCCCTGTACCGCCTCCTCATGCTGCTGCCAGGTCCACAGTGTCTCATGGGTCCCTGTACGGCCTCCCATTGCTGCTGTCTCCATCGCCACACTCTGCCATGTGCCACTTTCAGGTCTCCTCACACTGCTTGTGGGTTCCATTTTGTCATAGGTTGCTGGCAGATTACGGGCGTCTCCCATTGCTGCTGCCAGGCCTGTAATCTGCCATGGGCCCCCGTACCGCCTCCTCATGCTGCTGCCAGGTCCACAGTGTCTCATGGGTCCCTGTACGGCCTCCCATTGCTGCTGTCTCCATCGTCACACTCTGCCATGTGCCACTTTCAGGTCTCCTCACACTGCTGCTGGGTTCCATTTTGTCATAGAGTGCTGGCAGATTACGGGCGTCTCCCATTGCTGCTGCCAGGCCCCTAATCTGCCATGGGCCCCTGTACCGCCCTCCTCATGCTGCTGCCAGGTCCACAGTGTCTCATGGGTCCCTGTACCGCCTCCCATTGCTGCTGTCTCCATCGCCACACTCTGCCATGTGCCACTTTCAGGTCTCCTCACACTGCTGCTGGGTTCCATTTTGTCATAGGTTGCTGGCAGATTACGGGCGTCTCCCATTGCTGCTGCCAGGCCCCCTAATCTGCCATGGGCCCCCGTACCGCCTCCTCATGCTGCTGCCAGGTCCACAGTGTCTCATGGGTCCCTGTACCGGCCTCCCATTGCTGCTGTCTCCATCGCCACACTCTGCCATGTGCCACTTTCAGGTCTCCTCACACTGCTGCTGGGTTCCATTTTGTCATAGGTTGCTGGCAGATTACGGGCGTCTCCCATTGCTGCTGCCAGGCCCCTAATCTGCCATGGGCCCCTGTACCGCCTCCCTCATGCTGCTGCCAGGTCCACAGTGTCTCATGGGTCCCTGTACCGCCTCCCATTGCTGCTGTCTCCATCGCCACACTCTGCCATGTGCCACTTTCAGGTCTCCTCACACTGCTGCTGGGTTCCATTTTTGTCATAGGTTGCTGGCAGATTACGGGCGTCTCCCATTGCTGCTGCCAGGCCTGTAATCTGCCATGGGCCCCTGTACCGCCTCCTCATGCTGCTGCCAGGTCCACAGTGTCTCATGGGTCCCTGTACCGCCTCCCATTGCTGCTGTCTCCATCGCCACACTCTGCCATGTGCCACTTTCAGGTCTCCTCACACTGCTGCTGGGTTCCATTTTGTCATAGGATGCTGGCAGATTACGGGCCTCCCATTGCTGCTGCCAGGCCCCTAATCTGCCATGGGCCCCTGTACCGCCTCCTCATGCTGCTGCCAGGTCCACAGTGTCTCATGGGTCCCTGTACGGCCTCCCATTGCTGCTGTCTCCATCGCCACACTCTGCATGTGCCACTTTCAGGTCTCCTCACACTGCTGCTGGGTTCCATTTTTTGTCATAGGGTGCTGGCAGATTACGGGCGTCTCCCATTGCTGCCAGGCCCCTAATCTGCCATGGGCCCCTGTACCGCCTCCTCATGCTGCTGCCAGGTCCACAGTGTCTCATGGGTCCCTGTACCGCCTCCCATTGCTGCTGTCTCCATCGCCACACTCTGCCATGTGCCACTTTCAGGTCTCCTCACACTGCTGCTGGGTTCCATTTTGTCATAGGATGCTGGCTGGCAGATTACGGGCCTCCCATAGCTGCTGCCAGGCCCCTAATCTGCCATGGGCCCCTGTACCGCCTCCTCATGCTGCAGGTCCCAGGTCCCACATTGTGTGTCTCCATCGCCACACTCTGCCATGTGCCACGCTTTTCAGGTCTCCTCACACTGCTGGTGTGTTCCATTTTGTCATAGGGTGCTGGCAGATTACGGGCCTCCCATTGCTGCTGCCAGGCCCCTAATCTTGCCATGGGCCCCTGTACCGCCTCCTCATGCTGCTGCCAGGTCCCAGTGTCTCATGGGTCCCTGTACGGCCTCCCTCCCATTGCTGCTGTCTCCATCGCCACACTCTGCCATGTGCCACTTTCAGGTCTCCTCACACTGCTGCTGGGTTCCATTTTGTCATAGGGTGCTGGCAGATTACGGGCCTCCCATTGCTGCTGCCAGGCCCCCTAATCTGCCATGGGCCCCCTGTACCGCCTCCTCATGCTGCTGCAGGTCCAGAGTGTGTCATGGGTCCCTGTACGGCCTCCCATTGCTGCTGCCAGGAGGCAGCAGGGTGCATGCACTTGTCAGTGGAGGCAAACGGCCACGGAGTAGAGCACCAGCTCCACTGCAGCCTACCACCACGGCCAGTAGTGGTTCCGGTGTGCACAGAGGAAGTAGCAGTCAGCCATGGAGTAGCGGGGGCAAAGTTTCCTAATCGGCGGTGTTCCAGGCCCAATTTTTCGTCAATTGTGCCGCCCGAGGAAGTAAACGTAGCCGTATGTCGACTATGTGGCCAGAAAGTCAGCGTGTCTCAGGGGGCCCATGTTGGGACTACAGCGTTGCCGTCAGCATATGCAGCGTCGCCATTCGCCACACTCTGCCTGGAAAACCGTTTACGGCGGTTCTGCCTCCCCAGCCTGGGGTTCCATTTTGTCATAGGGTGCTGGCAGATTACGGGCCTCCCATTGCTGCTGCCAGGCCCCTAATCTGCCATGGGCCCCTGTACCGCCTCCTCATGCTGCTGCCAGGTCCACAGTGTCTCATGGGTCCCTGTACCGCCTCCCATTGCTGCTGTCTCCATCGCCACACTCTGCCATGTGCCACTTTCAGGTCTCCTCACACTGCTGGTGGGTTTCCATTTTGTCATAGGGTGCTGTATGGCCTCCCATTGCTGCTGCCAGGCCCGTAATCTGCCATGGGCACCCGTACCGACTCCTCATGCTGCTGCCAGGCCCGTAATCTGTCATGGGCCCCTGTTGTCGCTTGTTGGCATATTCCGCTCATTCAGATGCTCCTTCTCCTGCTACTCCTCTTCACGGATTCCGTCAGCAGTCTTTCTTATAAATCCGTTTCCAAGAGACAACAGTTTGCGAGCACGCACCCGACGGTGCAGAAGCTGAACGTCCTCCTGTCCAAGTTGCTGCTGCCGACAGCCCGTAATCTGTCATGCGCCCCTGTACCGCCTCTCATGCTGCTGCCAGGTCAGAGTGTGTCATGGGCCCCCGTTACCGACTCCTCATGCTGCTGCCAGGCCCGTAATCTGTCATGGGCCCCCTGTACCGCCTCCTCATGCTGCTGCCAGGTCCAGAGTGTGTCATGGGTCCCTGTACGGCCCTCCCATTGCTGCTGCCAGGAGGCAGCAGGGTCTGCAGCAGTGTCAGTGGAGGCAAACGGCCACGGAGTAGAGCACCAGCTCCACTGCAGCCTACCACCACGGCCAGTAGTGGTTCCGGGTGTGCACAGAGGAAGTAGCAGTCAGCCAGTGAGGAGTAGCGGGGGCAAAGTTTCCTACTCGGCGGTGGTGTGGCATTTTTCGTCAAGCCCACCGAGGACGTGGAAGTAAACGTAGCCGTATGTCGATGTCTATGTGGCCAGAAAGTCAAGCGTGGCCAGGGGGCCCATGTTGGGACTACAGCGTTGCGTCAGCATATGCAGCGTCGCCATTCGGTGGCCTGGGAAAACCGTGATAAAGATACGGTGGTTATGCCTGCCCAAGCCCTGGGTTCCATTTTGTCATAGGGTGCTGGCAGATTACAGGCCTCCCATTGCTGCTGCCAGGCCCCTAATCTGCCATGGGCCCCTGTACCGCCTCCTCATGCTGCTGCCAGGGTCCACAGTGTCTCATGGGTCCCTGTACCGCCTCCATTGCTGCTGTCTCCATCGCCACACTCTGCCATGTGCCACTTTCAGGTCTCCTCACACTGCTGGTGGGTTTCCATTTTTGTATCATAGGGTGCTGTTATGGCCTCCCATTTGCTGCTGCCAGGCCCCGTAATCTGCCATGGGCCCCGTACCGATCCTCATGCTGCTGCCAGGCCGTAATCTGTCATGGGCCCTGTTGTGCTTGTTGGCATTATTCCGCTCATTCAGATGCTCCTTCTACTCCGGCTTACTCCTCTTCACGGGATTCCGTCAGCAGTCTTTCTTATAAATCCGTTTCCAAGAGACAACTGTTTTGCGAGCACGCACCCGACGGTGCAGATGCAGCCCTAAGCTGAACGTCCTCCTGTATCCAAGTTGCTGCTGCCAGGCCCGTAATCTGTCATGCGCCACCCCTGTTACCGCCTCCTCATGCTGCTGCCAGGTCCAGAGTGTGTCATGGGCCCCCGTCCGACTCCTCATGCTGCTGCTTATGGCCCGTAATCTGTCATGGGCCCCTGTACCGCGCTACTCATGCTGCTGCAGGTTCCAGAGTGTGTCATGGGGGGTCCCTGTACGGCCTCCCATTGCTGCTGTCTCCATCGCCACACTCTGCCATGTGCCACTTTCAGGTCTCCTCACACTGCTGGTGGGTTCCATTTTTGTCATAGGGTGCTGTTATGGCCCTCCAAATTTGCTGCTGCCTCCACCGCACCACTGTGGTCTCCACACTCTGGTTTTGGCCCCGTGACTGCCCAAATGAGTGAAGTGTGCGGGGTGATTCTAAGATCGACGGCACTCATCTGCCTGTTCTATACTGGACTGACTCAGTATTATTTCTCTTCCCCAGCAGACTCCCAAGGGCATTTAAATTAAAAGGTACAGTGTTCTGCACTAATATAAAGGCTCTCTGAAGCCTAGAAACACCCTTTTATAAGTTAAAATTCGCTAGCAAATATATTCGACTCGTAAATCGAAATTTTTTACTGATGAATTCGCCGCCCCGAATCAGTCATATCGAATTTTTTTTTTTGAATAATTCGACTCATCTTAATTGTGGGTAACCAGTAGATGATTCCCAAACAAAACGTCAGATTGATGCTGTAGTCCAGAGGAGGAAATAGATTGTGCATGTTGAAAACATATATATAATACAGTTGCAAGAAAAAAGAATGTGAACCCTTGGGATTACGTGAGTAGGTTTTGCATGAATTGGGCATAAAATTGTGCTCTGAACGTCATCTAAGTCACAACAATAGAAGAACCCAGTCTGCTGCACATAATACTACACAAACATTAGATGTTGCCATGGTTTAATTGCACATAACCTGTAAACATTCACAGTGCAGGGAGGAAAAAGTATGTGAGTCCCTAGCTTAATGACTTCTCCCAGAGCTAATTGGAGTCAGGAGTGAGCCAACCTTGACTCCAATCCAGTGTGATGATAATGGATGTTGTTGCTGACAGCTTGTCCTGCCTTAAAACCTACACCACAACTGTTTTGGGTTTATCTGGTTTCAAGAAGCACTGTCTGTATGTGAACCATGCCTCGCAGAAAAAGAGCTCTCAGAAGACCTCGATCAAGTAATTGTTTGACTTGCATGAAGCTGGAAGGGTTTACAAAAGTATCTCCAAAAGGCTTGATGTTCATGTGTCCACGGTAAGGACAGACTGTCTACCCAAAGGAGAAAGTTTGCGGGGGCACTGTTGCTACTCTCCCTAGGCGTGGTCGTCCTGTACAAAATGACTGCAAGAGCAACCAGCGCAGACTATGCTCTGCATGAGGTAAAGAAGAAATCCAGAGTGGATCAGGCTAAAGACCTAGTAGAAATCTCTGGCACATGCTACAAACATTTTTGTTGAACATCTAACATAGGAAAAACATTAAACAAGAGATGGCGTACCCATGGGAGGACACCACTGGAGGAAGCCATTGCTGTCCAAAAAGAATATTGCAGCATGTTTGAAGTTTGCAAAAGATCACCTGGATGTTCCACAGCACTACTGGCAAAGTATACTGTGGACAGATGAAACCAGATTGAGTAATTGAGTTGTTTGGGAAAAAAGAACACACAACACTGTGTGGTGAAAAAAAAAGGCAACAGCCACAAACATCAAAAACCTCATCTCCGCTGTAAAACATGGAGGAGAGGGAGCATTATGGTTTGGGGCTGCTTTGCTGCCTCAGGGCCCTAGATGGATTGTTGTCATTGATGGGAAAATTGGCGCTTTCCAGAGTTTATCAAGACTTTTTGCAGGAAAACGTGACGACCATCTGTCCCCAAGAAGCTCCGCAGAGGATGGGCGATGTGAAATGCAACAGGACAATGACCTATCAAAAAAGCATACGTTGTGTAAATTCAACAAAACAATGGCTGCAACAGCACAGAATACGCTCTTTTGGAGTGTGGCCCAAGTCAGAGTCCTGACCTTCAACCCGATTGAAATGCTGTGGCTTTGACTTAAGAGAGCGATTTTCACACCAGATCATCCAAGTATAAGATTGCTACAATGAAAACTGTTTTGTGTGGAAGGAGTGGTCCAAATTACTCCAGATCGTTGTGCAGGTCTGATCTGCAAACGTACAGGAAAACGTGTTTGGTTGGGGTTATTGCTGCAACAAAGGAAGGTCAACCAGTTATTTAAGTCAAAGGTTCACCATACTTTTTCCTCCCTGCACTGTGAACTGTTTACATGGTATGTGTAAATTAAACCATGGCAACATCTGAATGTTTTTGTTAGTATTTATGTTCAGGCAGACTGTGTTCTTCTATTGTTGTGACTTAGATAACGTTCAGAGCACATTTTATGCCGTAATTCATGCAAAACTCCAACGTAAAATCCCAAGGGGTTCACATACATTTTTGCTTGCAAAATGTATTATATATATATAAATATTCACCTCACTCTAGTGCTAAAACATTTACAAGGCTCCATCCTGGGGAGGGTTTTTTTGCGTAGAGAATAGTAACATCCCACATGTATCACTGTATGCATATAATGTTAAAAGTCTGGCCCAGGTATCAATCTAAGAGAATTATATACTGTATTATATATACAGTGGGGATCGAACGTGTTTGGGCACCCCAGCTAAAAATTGTATTAATGTGCATAAAGAAGCCAGGAAAGATGGAAAAAATCTCCAAAAGGCATTAAATTACAGATTAGGACATTCTTTAATTATAATATGTCAACAAAAGTTATATTTTATTTCCATCATCTACACTTTCAGAATAACAGAAAAACAAAAAATGGTGGTGTCTTTGCAAAAGTTTGGGCACCTGCAGAATTTATAGCATGCACTGCCCCTTTGCCAAGCTGAGACTGCCAGTGTGTCCATGGATTGTTCTCAATTCATCATCGTCTGGGAAGACCAGGTGATGTCAATCTCAAAGTTTTAAATGCCCAGACTCATCTGGACCTTGCCCAACAATCAGCACATGGGTTCTTCTAAGCAGTTGTTCTAGAAAAATGAAACTGAAAATAGTTGACGCTCACAAAGCTGGAGAAGGCTATAAGAGATAGCAAAGCGTTTTCAGATGTCTAATATCCTCTGTTCGGAATGTAATTAGAGAAATGGCAGTCATCAGGAACAGTGGAAGTTAAAGCAAGATCTGGAAAGACCAAGAGAAAATATCAGACAGAAAAGCTCGCAGGATTGTGAGAAAAACAATTCAAAACCCACGTGTTTGACTGCACGATCCCTCCAGAAGATCTGGCAGACACTTGGAGTTGTGGTACACTATTCCACTATAAAGAGATACTTGTACAAATCATGGTCTTCATGGAAGAGTCATCAGAAGAAAAACCCTCTTCTACGTCCTCACCACAAAAATCATCGTTTGAACTTTGCAAATGAACATATAGACAAGCCTGATACATTTTGGAAACATAGTTCTGTGGACCGATGAGGTTTAATATTGAACTTTTTGGCCGGAATGAGCAAAGGTAGTTTGGAGAAGAAGGAGCACAGAATTTAATGAAAAGGAACTCTGTCCAACTGTTAAGTATGGGGTTAGGATCAATCATGCTTTGGGGTTGTGTTGCAGACAGTGGCACAGGGATAACATCTCACGAGTAGAAGGAAAAAATGGATTCAATAAAAAATTTCAGCAAATTTTGGACTGGTAACTGATGCCATCTGTGAAAAAAGTGACGTTAAAGAGCGGATGGCTTCTACAAATGGATAATGATCCTAAACAAACACACCTCGAAAATCCACAGGGGATTACATCAAGAGACGTAAACTGAAGGTTTTGCATGGCCTTCACAATCTCCTGACCTCAACATAATGAAAATCTATGGATAGACCTTAAAAGAGCAGTGCGTGACAGACAGCCCAGAAATCTCAAAGAACTGGAAGACTTTTATAAGGAAGAATGGGCAATAGATACCTCAAACAAAGAATTGAAAGATCTTGACCTGGCTACAAAAAGCGTGTACAAGACTGAGATACTTGCCAAAGGGGGCAGTACAAGATATTAACTCTTGCAGGGGTGCCCATAACTTTTGCAGACGCCATTTTTTTGTTTTCTGTTATTTTGAAAGTGTAAATGATGGAAATAAAATACTACTTTTGTTGACATATTATAAGAATGTCTAATCTGTTAATTTGATGCCTTTTGGGAGAGAGATTTTTCCATCTTTCCTTGGCTTCTTTATGCACATTTAATACAAATTTTTATCATGGGGTGCCCAAAACTTTCGATCCCCACTGTATATATATATATATATTTATATATTCATATATATATTACACTTGAAGATTATTATACAAGTGGGGGGATCGAAAGTTTGGGCACCCCAGCTATAAATGGTATTTAATGTGCAGTAAAGAAGCCAAGGAAAGATGGAATAAAATCTCCAAAAGGCATCAAATTACAGATTAGACATTCTTATAATATGTCAACAAAAGTTATTTTTATTTCCATCATTTACACTTTCAAAAATAACAGAAAACAAAAAAAATGGCGTCTGCAAAAGTTTGGGCACCCTGCCTAGAGTTAATATCTTGTACTGCCCCTTTTGGCCAAGTATCACAGCTTGTAAACGCTTTTTGTAGCCAGCAAGAGTCTTTCAATTCTTGTTTGAGGGTATCTTTGCCCATTCTTCCTTACAAAAGTCTTCCAGTTCTTTGAGATTTCTGGGCTGTCTGTCACGGACTGCTCTTTTAACGTCTATCCATAGATTTTTCATTATGTTATGAGTGAGGTCAGGAGAAGATTGTGAAGGCTATGGATAAACCTTCAGTTTACACCTCTTG